GGCAATAGCCAGTGCAACAGGCACGACAATAAACAATCAACCAACGACAGTGAGTACAATTGCGAAATGTTGGTCATCTCGGTGGGGCGCTGGCGTACTTGGCGTACAAACAGCCCAACCTGCCTGATTATGACCAATATATCTCAATGTCTGTGTGTTTTGTGTTCTTTTGTATTTCATCCATCGTCTCTTCTCTTTTCCTCTTCCTATCGCTTAACATATATGCGTTGTTGTGTTGAGTTGTTGTCAATAAACATGAATTCTTTTGAATTTGTTTTCGGTATGCGTGGCATGTTGTGTACCGTTTTCAATTCTGATCGTATATGTGTTTTTGTTTTTGTTTTTGTTATGCATGCATGCATGCATGCATGAACGTAAGCATGCGTGTAAACTAAAGTGAAGCCAGTTTGACAATTAAAAGGCATTTCAAAGATGATTAATTAATTTTCTTTCATGTTGACTCATTTTATGATTATTTTGTACAGATATATATATATAGCACACTATCGCTTACATTTTGTACAATACAAATGGAATTTATTCTGCAATTTTGTTGTGTGACAACGTATCTTATGTCATATAATGCATTTTAAATTTTAGAGATAAAAAATATGAACATTCTACGTAACGACAATTTAAACAGGATTAAAGATTAAAATTCGTATCCCAAAAAAATATATATATATATATGGAATAAATTTATAGAATATGTGCTATAATTTATAATAGATAAAGTGCTTAAGGACTTTCACTTTGCATCCATGCAATCAAATCAGTGGAACGATATAATAGTTGCAAAAAATGTGTACCTTTGATATAATAGATTGAAGAGTTCGTATGTATGTATTTCGTAGTAGTGATAGTATCCAATAATCACACAAAGCATACAATTTTTAATTTTCTCACTTGTTCAAATCGCCCAACTTTATATGCTTCACATTCTCATAATCAATCTCTCGGTATAAAGTAGTAAATGTAGCAAATGAAGCAAAAGGAAAAAAAAAAATTTAAGCATTCCTTTGGATTTTGTGTTTATTAGCGATTTTCACTTAAAATCCTATTAATATTACAAATTTTTTTTTTTTGCTCTTATTTATAAGTTTTAATTATTACTTAAACCAGACCTCTCATATATAATATATGTGATGATAACTTTCAAGCTGGCCTCTATAAGAAATTGCATAAATAATATTATAAGTTAAGATTTATTGTGTCATTAATTATTTAATTTGTGTTTGTTTTTGAATTTTATTTTCTATTTTTATTTCGTTTGTCAACCTACCCGTGTGCTCTACCATATAATTTATATTAAGTGTGATGTATATGCATGTGAATAACTTAGTTTTAGTTATATGTTTTGAAAATGTTTTGTTTTTTTTTTTTTTTTTTTTACCCATCAGCGAAGAATCAGGGATATATTCAATTTGTCAGAACGTTTGCAACATCGAAAAAGAAGCTTCGAGAGACCGCGTATATATTCTTGATCAACATCAAATTATAAACTGATTTAAGTACGTCCGTCTGTTTATCTGTCTGTCGTAAATATTATTCTGACTTCAAATTTGGCACAAGCGATGCAAGTCTTTGCACAAAGGTCGATATTGAAATTGCGTCAAATCGGTCAAAAGACGCGACCATGGTATAACGTAACCTTGAACTAGCCCTGTTTTCAAAAATAAAAAAAATAAAAATTCTTTTTATGCTCGTTATAAAAGATGAAAATCTGCATTATATACATGGACCTATATGGAAAAATCGACCAATATTGAAATTTCATTATTTTATCGAAAGGTTTGCAGGACCCAAAAAAAAAAAAAAAATGATTAAGAGAGCATATCAAAATCTACAAATTATTGATGAATGTCAAAGGGTGATGGGTGTAAAAGATTTGTTCGCAGTCGAAAACAATTTTCCGACTTTCCTTTTTTTTTTTTTAATAATTGTTCCTTTTTCTACATATGTTTGTGAAACTAAATGTTAAATTAATTCTAAACACTTACATTTTAATATATTATTGCTCAAGGCTGGATATGTGCTCAGGTTTGTAATGCTCGTGCTCTGCATGGACAGACTACTTACACTTTATATATATATAGGTCCTTTTGATTCGCATAAAATGCCTTCAGGTGCGTAATGCTCGTGGTTTGCACGGACAGACTACTTACACTTTATATATATATATGTCCTTTTGATTAGTATAAGATGGCCTAGGGT